ACCAGGGGGCCCAAGGAGGGCCCAGGAGAAGCTCCAGGAGGCTCCAGGAGAGCCCAGGAGGGCCCAAGAGGTCCAAGGAAGACCCAGGAGGGCCCAGGAGCCCTCACGAGGGATCGTGGCCCTGGGAGCGCTGACGTAGCGTAATTTACGAGGGATCGTGGCCCTGGGAGCGCGGGTGTAGTGTAATGTTTGAGGATGTCTCGAGCGAAACGCTTGTTTTGCAGAGTTGGGGATGTCTCGAGCGAAACGCTTGTTTTCAGAATTTGTTGAGGATGTCTCGAGCGAAACGCTGGTTTTGCAGAGCCGACCGCGACGGGGAAAAGCGCCCCGCGCGCAGGAATTCCGAGGATGTCTCGCGCGTGCCGCGTCCCGCGCGCAGGAATTTCCAGAGTGTCTCGACCAATTCGTTTGTTTTTTCAAGGATGTCCTTTAATGTTGGCAGGATGTCTCGAGCGATATGCTTGTTTTTGATAATTTGTTGAGGATGTCTCGAGCGAAACGCTGGTTTTGCAAACCTGGGGGATGTCTCGAGCGGTGGCCTCGTGGGGGGCCATAATTCAGAGGACGTCTCAGGCGAACTGCTTGTTTTCACGTCCCGCTCGCAGGAATTCCGAGGATGTCTCGCGCGTGCCGCATCCCGCGCGCAGGAATGTTGAGGATGTCTTGACTAATTCGTTTGTTTTGCAATGAGTTCCTTTAATTTTGGTAGGATGTCTCGAGCGAAATGCTTGTGTGTTCATAGTTTGTTGAGGATGTCTCGAGCGAAACGCTGGTTTTGCAACAATGGGGGGTGTCTCGAGCGGGGGCCTCGTGGGGGGTTAGAATTCAAATGATGTTTCAGGCGAAATGTTTGTTTTCACGTCCCGCTCGCAGGAATTCCGAGGATGTCTCGCGCGTGCCGCGTCCCGCGCGCAGGAATTCAGAGGATTTTGACAGGATTTCTCGAGCGAAACGCTTGTCCCCAGCACGTTCCGTAGCGCGTCCCCTTGGCACGTCCCGCGGTGTGACCCCATGACACGTCCCTTGGCACGTCGCCTGGCGCATCCCTTGGGACGTTTCGCGGCGCGTCCTCCTGGCGCATGTCCCACTGTCAATTAGCTCTGGGGCAGCTACTGTGTGTTCAGGCAGCTCGAGCTTAAGATCCAGATCAGTTCGGTCAGGACGCGGATGCAAAGGAGGACTCGATCCACGAGGCTATAGAGCACAATCGCGGCATGACACATCGCAATTCAGCACGGCGCAGCACAGCACAGATTTCGGCACGGTACATCAAGATCGATACATTCAGCATTGCAACTTGGCACGTTCCTTGGCACGTTCCGTGGGGCGTCCCTTGGCGAGTCCCCCTGGCACGTCGCGTGGCGCGTCCCCTGGCACATCCCGTGGCACATTCATTGGCACGTTCCGTAGTGCGTCCCCTTGGCACGTCCCGCGGTGCGACCCCATGACACGTCCCCTGGCACGTCGCCTGGCGCATCCCTTGGGACGTTTCGCGGCGCGTCCTCCTGGCATGTCCCCCTGTCCATTAGCTCTGGGGCAGCTACTGTGTGTTCAGGCAGCTCGAGCTTAAGATCCAGATCAGTTCGGTCAGGACGCGGATGCAAAGGAGGACTCGATCCACGAGGCTATAGAGCACAATCGCGCCATGGCCCATCGCAATTCAGCACGGCGCAGCACAGCACAGCCCTCGGCAGGGTACATCAAGATCGATACACTCAGCATTGCATTTGCCCGTCACCCAATCAGGTGTCTTTGAAAACGCTGCCATGTGTTACAGTTCTAGATTCCTTTCCGGGTTCGTGGGTCGATCATGTTTTTCTCCATGTATCCTTATGCCTCGTGCTTCTACCGTTTCTCGTCCCTCCCGCACGTGCTCCACCAGCCGGTGTGACAGCGCGTGCATGCTGTTTCAAGGTGGATTTCTCTCAGTGCTCCGTTGCCCTTCGTTGTTCCTGCACGTGCTCCGCCAACTGGCTTGACAGCGCATGCGTTCTATTGCAATGCAGCTTGCTCTCCGTCCTCCGGCATTCCTTGTTCCTTCTGCACGTGCTCCGCCAGCCAGCGTAACAGCGCGTGCATTCTATTTCAGGCAATTGTGTCCTGTCCTCCGTCATTCCTGGCCTCTCCCGCACGTGTTCGGCCAGCCAGCGGACAGCGCGTGCGTTCCGATAAAAGACATGTGTTTTTACGTCCTCAGCCATTTTTCCTCACCACTGCATGTGATCCGCCAACTGGTGTGATGGCGCGCGCGTTCTGTTTCACTGCGCTCTTCCTTCTCCTCCCAATTCTTCCCCAACCCATTCCACCCGACTTCACTCATCCCCATTTTTCCTCACTCCTCCCCTCCACCCCTCCCCACCCCTGCTCACTCCTTCGCATCCCTACCCACTCCCACCCCTCCCCACTGCTTCGCATTCCTTTGCACTCTTGTCGGTTTTATCCGTAAGGGCTTCGCCCCCTGCCGCCGGCCCCCTCTCTCGGAGAATAGGCCATGGAAGAGCTAAGTCATGAGGTCTTGGCGCTATCGTGAAGCAGTATCGAAACTTCATGCGAAGCCGATTCGCAATCAGCAAAACCAACTGATCACAAGAGGGGTTACCACACCTGGCGATTGGTAAGACGTGTATGGTTTACGGGCTTGGTTACCACACCTTGCGATTAAAGGGCCGAGGGAGTTCTCGCAGTTTGGGTTACCACGCCTTGCGATGGATGTGCGTGAAGGGTGGCACCGAATTTCAGAAATGTGGCAAATCCCCTGTGTTTTTGGACCCTGACCCCGCGGATCTGCGTAAGGAGTGGCGCCGAATTTCAGAAATGTGGCAAATCCCTGTGTTTTTGGACCCTGACCCCGCGGATCTGCGTGAGGGGTGGCACCGAATTTCAGAAATGTGGCAAATCCCCTGTGTTTTTGGACCCTGACCCCGCGGATCTGCGTGAGGGGTGGCACCGAATTTCAGAAATGTGGCAAATCCCCTGTGTTTTTGGACCCTGACCCCGCGGATCTGCGTGAGGGGTGGCACCGAATTTCAGAAATGTGGCAAATCCCATGTGTTTTTGGACCCTGACCCCGCGGATCTGCGTGAGGGGTGGCACCGAATTTCAGAAATGTGGCAAATCCCTGTGTTTTTGGACCCTGACCCCGCGGATCTGCGTGAGGGGTGGCACCGAATTTCAGAAATGTGGCAAATCCCTGTGTTTTTGGACCCTGACCCCGCGGATCTGCGTGAGGGGTGGCACCGAATTTCAGAAATGTGGCAAATCCCATGTGTTTTTGGACCCTGACCCCGCGGATCTGCGTGAGGGGTGGCACCGAATTTCAGAAATGTGGCAAATCCCATGTGTTTTTGGACCCTGACCCCGCGGATCTGCGTGAGGGGTGTCGATTTCGAGCCCCCCCAGCAATTCAGACAACGCGCCCAGGGGGTGCTAAAAAGCCGGTTTGGGCCTCCCCCCCCCTCGCGCGGTCAATCAACTAGTTACAGTAACCAGCAATAAGCAGAACTGTAACACTGGAAACTACAAGCTACAACTGGTACAGGAAACTGCGAATCCCGCTCCTCGCAGCCTGGTGGCCCCACAAGGGGGCCGACGGATTTCACTCCTCATTTCTCGTGTCTTTCCCATTTTCCGCATTCCTTCCAATTTGTCCCCACTCCTCCAGAGTCCTGTTCATCTATTGCCAGTCAACTCTACTGTCCACTCCACTCCGCTCCTCTCTTCCGCGCTCTGTTCCACCCAATCACAATTTTCTTCATCCATCCCCTTTTCATTTCTTCACGCTCTTCCCAGCTTCCGCCGTCCCCGTACTCCACTCGTCTCCTTGCCTCCCCACGAGTATTCCCAGGGAGATCATACCGTATAAGCAAGTACCAAGCCGATGTTTATTCATGATCGGTAGCTCCAATGTTCCCAAACCAGCGTCAGAGCCAATCCAAGAGAACGCGACGAAATCCCAAGACCAGCGACATGCGGCCTTGACGTTTCATCAGAAAGCCAGTCAATACGCCAATGCTGTTCAGCGATATCCCCGACGAACTCGCAAGACAAGATCTGTGTGTCGTGACAAGGATCTGGCAATGATGGACGGCGCCAGTGGGGCCAAATACACATGCCCCCATAAGACGGCGCCAAAACAGCCCCGAAGCCAGTCCAGAGAAGCCCTGCGACGTCCTAAAACGAGCCCAATATTGCTGCACCCTCTGACAGCGAGGCGTCCCCCCAGGCTTGCCCAATGACTCCCCCTGGCGACCCTGCAAACCTGGACCTGCGCGTCATCACAGCGCCATGGAGTGCGCCAGAACCGAAGGGCGCGCATAGCGCGCGCGTGTGGTTTTAGTATGTTTATATGTACAAATATACAAAATGTTTGTGTATGTACACACATACATATAGGCAGAAACTCTGTCGATCTAGATCAAATCAAGTCGTAATGCCGCGGTGCAGGTTTCTGCCAGATCGGTTGCCCCAGAGGAGCCCGACACCCCTCGCGTTCCCCGCCCTCGCCCTCCGTGAACAACGCCAGCGTCGACAATATAATCCGTCGCGCACATCGGCTCCCGCTCTCATATCAGCATAAAGGTTACTGGCCGCACGATCTGATTCCGTCGGCCGCTTGGTCGCGAAGCAGAGGCGCCCCTGGTGGTCAAGATGGTCAGGCAGTCGTGGTACCATTCGCAGCGCATGGACAGCTGTTCATCGCCGCCTCGGAAATATCCAGCGCGGGCGTGAGGTCATCGATGATGGTTCGACCTGGTGGCCACCTGGCGTCGCCGCGAGCCCGCTCGCGCTTCCACCTCCCACTCCCTCTTCTCCTGCCTTCTCTCGCGACTTTGCCCCATCTTGGTCACCCCTTCCTGGCCTCCTCCCTCGATTGCCCCTGGTGCTGTGGATCGGGCGACGCCACCGCCCCCCCAAGAGACTCTGCGTCTCTTCGGGCGCCGTGTCCCTGCCTCACGATCCTCGGCACGGTCACCAGCTGGACCCTCCGCCCCCGTCGCCGCTTTGGCTCGAGAAGTGGCCCCGCCAGGGGCCCTGCATGACCCTCTCCATACCAGGGCTGGACCCAGACGCTGTTTTGCTGGACCTCGGCTGTGTTTTGTTTCTTTGGGGGGCGAGGGAGGTGCAGGAGAACAGGCGGGGCAAAACGAAACACAGAGCGAAAGCAAAACGAAACACAAAACATTTGGGTTCAGCCCTGCTCCATACCTCCGGCCGGCCTGGGGCCTCCCAGCGCGGCCTCCCTCGGCAGGAGGCCGCAGGCAGGCGGCTCGTCACCCGCAAGCGCATCATCCTCGGGCCTGGTGCCCCCCGCCGCCCCGCCACGGGCACAGCGGGCCGCGGCGGCGTCAACGCACGGGGCTGCCGCCTGGGCCGGGTCGTGCTGACCGAGGGCCGGGGGCGAGGTGCGAAGGGGAAACAACGCCACGGGCAGAACCTTTTGGCGCTCCTTGCAGTGGGCCCCCCTCCCTGGCGCGCGGAGCGCGCCAGGGCGGCGCCGGAGGCGCCGCGGGGGCAGGGAGGGGCCCAGCGCGGATCCGCGCGGAACGCCAAAAGCTTTATGTCTATGGCGTTTTTTCCTCTTCTGGAGATGTCCGATGGCTTCATCACAGTGGCCCAGTGCGTGGAGGGTCTGCCCCTCGGACGCTTCGTTTGGGAGCTCCTTGCCTGCGCGATGCTGTTCTGGTTCCTCCTGGGCTCCATCAATGAGTGCACTCCCGTTGCGTTCTCCTACGTCCAGGCGTCAGACTGGCCCAGCGAGCAGACCACCATGATGCTCTCTGGTGCCTTAGTGATGGGAAACTTCATGGCGATCTTGCTCGCCGGATGGGTTGCGGACAGGCACGGCCGCATGGCCGTTGTCCGGCCAGCCTTGTTCGCCACCATACTCTGCGGCACGTTGCTGCAGATGGCGCACACCTTTACGCAGGCGCTGGTTGCACGCCTTGTCCTCGGCTTTGTTTCGGGCGGCATCATTGGTGTGCTGCCGCCATTGGTTGCAGAGCTGCTGCCGTCGCGCAACCGTGGTTTCCACATGACGATCTGGTGCGCAGGCTGGCCAGCGGGGGCCATCTTTGCGCTGATCGCCGGCTGCTTGTTTGACGGCCCGGATTCGCGAGCCTTCTACATGCTGATTCTCATGTCCGCCATCGTCTTGACTATGTGCACCCGGGCCGATCTCATCCCGGAATCGCCGAGATACTTGTACATGGTCGGGCGCCGTGATGAGGGCTACAGCGTTCTCATGGACATGTACGAGAAGGAGCAAGTGCCGATGCCCTGGGCGGCGGACACCATAGCGGTGACGTGCGCCTCGACGCCTGGCGAGCGCGCTGGAGGGACTGCGGACGCCAGCGCCAGCTCCTGCCAGACGAAGCCAGCCGTTGCTTCCAGTGCGGCGGTCACGGCCTGGCTGGCCTTGGCTATGTTCCTGATCAGCGCAGCGGGCCAGTCTATGAAGTTGCTCGTGCCCGTTGTGCTGGTCGCTCATCAGGATCACGCGTTGCACAGCGCGCGGATGCCGGTCAACTCTGCGACGTTCTTGTCGGCCTACCGGCGGGCCAATATCGCGGACCCTGTCGCCAATTTCGGCCCATTCGCAGGCTACCATGGCAGCAGTCTCCTTGACATCGCTATGCGCCGCAGCATTCCTCACCCTCATCATCGTGTACGTGCTCATGCATTTGAGCAACACGGCCATGGCTTCCAAGCGTTGAACTACAACGTTGTCTTCGTGATTGCGCAGGCTTATATTATTCAGACGATTGGCGTCGTCCTGTGCGCGTACACGTCCACCTGGATTTACCGGAAGTCGATGATCCAATGGTCTCTTTTGTGTGCCGCGTTCTTCACCCTTGCCACAATGGTCATGGCCCAGCATGGGGCACTGCTGCTGTGTGGTCCGTTCCTTGGGGTGCAGCTCGCTGCGCAGTCCGCGGGGTTCAATTTCCTGCAGGTTTTCGCGTGCGAATACTTCCCTACGTCTTCCCGCGCGAAGATGGTGGCTGTGGTGAACTTCTCGGCGCAGCTGGGTAACGTTGTGCTTCCAGTGTTTGGCGACATTGTCGTGCAAAGGCTGTCCACATCAGGAGCGGTCGTGTTCTTCGGACTGCTGTACGTGGCCTGCTATTTCGTAACATTGAAGTTGCCATTGCAGAACGTTCGTGAGCAACCCTTGCACGATGTCGAAGCTGAGCGATCCCAGAAGGGCACATCCGTCCGCTCACGGAAGCGTGAATGGGCCAGTTACCAAACGATTTGATGCTGCATGGCCAGGTTGTGTGTGCAGTAAGGACATCAGGCATTCCACGGCCCAGTAGAAGGAGCAGGAGGGGGAGAAGGCATCGCGGAAGAGGTGAAGTGAACGCTCGGGCCGTCGTCTTGGTCTGCGCGCTGCGCTGTCGCATTGAAAAGTACGCCAGAGTGCACGCAAGCGTCGAAGAACGCGTTGTGCCATTGTTCGGCGGAAACCAGAACTCAGACCTCTGACGTCTTGAACAAAAGCAAGGCGGAGGTACAGCTTATCTGCCACTGTGGGCTGTCTTTTGGACCTGGGACCATGATGAAAAAAACGCAGTGGGATGAAAATTGGTTCCCAGGGAGGAGTCGAGAGGTGTAAGGACCACATATTGAAAAATCTCACGACGTCTGATGTTAGAGAATACACACGCGCCCAGCCTGCCTGCTGTTACTTCCTGTTCACCCGACGGCCCGCAGAGCAAAAGTCTCCTTGAGGGTGCCCCCCTATGACTTGAAAAGATCCTGGTTCGGCGATGTAGGCCTGATCAGGCCGCTGGTCTGTTCGATCTGTCGATGGATCGGGGCTGTCGGCGGGGGCCCTGGGAAGGGGGCAAGCGAGGGAAGGCAGGGAGCACCCGACGGGGAGGGCACACGAGGAGGGACTACCCAGGGAGCAATAAGAATAGTCATGATAATAAGAATAGCAGTAACAGTGAGGCGAATCATTAGAAGACAGACGTGCAGAAGGAGACAGCCAGATGTTACCCAGGGAAGATGGGCGTTGGTAGTGTTCCATGGCCCATACCGAGCGCAAGGCCATGAGGAAGATGCCGGCTGTGTGCGCTCGAGAGCGTGCTTCTGTCCCCCTGCCCCATGCAGTCTATTCGCCTCCTCGTCCCGTCACAGCGCATCCTTTCCGCGTCGCTTTGTACGCACTCGCGCTGGTGTTCGTTTCAACCAGTTTCGGAGCGCCCTGCGGGAAACTTTGCTTCCGCCCCAGATCCTGACCCCCGAAGGTCACTGAAGGCCTGCAGACGCCCTAGGAGGCTCAAGAAGGTTAGGAGACGTCAACAACTTACCGAACACGTCTAAGTACCTCCCGTCTCGATCCTCGAGGGTGGATGGCAAAAGTTAGCAGCACCATGCCGCGTTGCTGCCGCCCTCTTCGCAGCGAGCGCTGCCGTTGGGGAGCACACCTGGGCGATTCCAGATCGAAAAACCGCCACCGGAGCCATGCCGCCCGTTGGGCCATCCCCGGGCGGGTGGTAACGGGGGGTTGGCCTTGAATTGGGGTGAAGAGGAAGCCCTTCAAGGAGCCCTTCCTTCACACTCCCATTTAGGCGTCCCCCCCATTACCACCCGCCCGACATCCTGGGCCCTGGTGTGGTATATGCGCCCTCCTGGCCGAGGCCAGGAGGATCTCCAGCGCTCTAGCAAGGGTCGCACCTTCGGCGCATCCTCGCCTTCGGCGGTAGCTGGCGGAAGGCCGGCGGAAGCCGACCGAAGCAAAATCGGGAGCCTTGAGACGGGGGTCAATGCAAACAGGGGTCAGCCAGAGCACCGGATCCTGCAGGATCCTGCAGAGCCAGAGGTGCATTGACCTGGGCTAGCGCGCAGGATCCTGCAGGATCTTGCTGGATCCGACAAAGCCCGACTGGCCCGGGTGTGCATCGACCCGGGTCAGTAGATGATCCCCGACAAAACGGCAGGTGGTCCGCCTGCGGAAGCCGACGGAAGACCAGCGCAAGTAGGCGGAAGCAGCGATACGTCAGCATAGGCTTGGATCGAAGGTTTCTGGAGTCGACGCCATCCAAGGGCCCAGGATGGCTCTGGGTTCCTGGGTGCCCTCTGCGGATCCTCCTCTTCGTCCTCCGCCTGACGGCCCCAGTGAAGCGAGGCCCTCTGGCCGGTGGCCCCAGTCATACGACGGCGCTATCTTTCGTCAACGTGGACTCCAAGAGGTTTAAACATCTTCCGTGGGACGGCTTTCTCCTTCTGAGCCGTGTTCTGACGGTCCCGGGTCCCGGCAAGGTCTTTGGATTCCGAAGAAGGAACGAGCACGTTCGTTGTGTGTGCGTTTGTGTGCGTGTGTGTGCGTGTGGGTGCGTGTGCGTGTACGTGTGCGTGTGCGTGTGTGCGTGTGTGTGCGTGTGTGCGTGTGTGTGTGTGTGTGTGTGTGTGTGTGCGTGTGTGTGTGTGTGGTGTGCGTGAGTGCGTGAGTGCGTGCGTGCGTGCGTGCGTGTTTGCGTGAGTGTGTGTGTGTGTGCGTGTGCGTGTGCGTGTGCGTGTGTGCGTGTGTGTGTGTGTGTGTGTGTGTGTGTGTGGGCGGGCGGGCGGGCGGGCGGGCGGGCGGGCGGGCGGCGGGCATGCGTGCGTGCGTGTGTGTGTGTGTGTGTGTGTGTGTGTGCTTAGTTGCCTCGATACGCCCGTTTTGAAACGCAATACGTCCCGTGTTCAAGACGTCCGTGTCAACACGTTGCGTGTTGGCTCCACGTATTGGGCCACGTTTTGGCGAAGGCATCGCGTCGGACCTACGTTTTCAGCCTACGTGTTGAGCTCCGTATCGATACGCTACGTGTTGCGTGTTGCGTATCGAGGCAACTTAGTGTGTGTGTGTGTGTGTGTGTGTGTGTGCGTGCGTGCGTGCGTGCGTGCGTGCGTGCGTGCGTGCGTGCGTGCGTGCGTGCGTGCGTGCGTGTGCGTGTGTGCAGGTGTGCAGGTGTGCAGGTGTGCAGGTGTGCAGGTGTGCAGGTGTGTGTGTGTGTGTGACGGTCTACCTTCCAACTCCCTGCTTCTACTCGTTGGCGGAAGCCCCTGCAACAATTTGTTTCGCGCAGGCACGTTGCGCGGGCAGGGCGGGCTGGTGGGATTTTCCTGGCATTTCTTCGCTATTCCCCTGGCGGCTTGGACCGACACACAGCTCGGACATCCACCGAGACGCCATGCTGGAGACCCTGGGTGGTTTCCTGGACAACGTTGTCTGCAAAACGCCGCCGCATGGGTCGCTAGCCCCAGAGCCAGGACTTGGATGGCCACGTTTGGACCCCCAGCAGCCAACGACAGGATGAGCTTCATTCGCCCTCCCCCCGCCATGGGAACCCAGGTGGGCGCTCGGGCACGACGGAATCATCCCACCCGGACAAGATCCAGAGGTGGCCCTGACGGAATACTACCCAGCAGCTACCAAGTTGGACTACCCTACCTCCTATAGCACGAAAACAGCGAACACATATGTTTCTTCATGACCCTGGAGGAAGTGATAAGCCGGGTCCTCCAAATCCTGAGCGCCACGGGAACAGACACGCAGTGGCCAGGCGCCCGCCAAGGCCTGATCCTAGTCCACGCGGGACGCCAGCGCGAGTCGGCGCAGTGCGAGCAGGCGGTCGCAACCTGGGGAAGGTGGCTGATGGCCAACGAGCACCCACACGGACTACGCTCTCCATCTCCTCATCAGCGTGCCAGAGCCAGCGGAATTGGCCAATACCTAGCAGGCCCAGGCCTCGAGGGCAGGGCGCTGCACGGCGGTGTTGGCACACACACACACACACACTTCGACCCGCTATGTCTCCACCAGAGACTGGTGCCACTAATGCGCGCCTGGGGTGGGGGCCAAAACGTGCCCAGACCTGCCTACCCAGACCCGATGGAGATCACGCAGATCTTCGACCGCATGCGCACGGCAATCAGGGGGACATGCCCTTTCATCCCTTTGGTGCGGTCCCCTTTCCGAGCGGACGTCACTGCCCAGCTGGCCTCCGACGGGTTTCTGCCCCCAGAGGCGGCGCAGAACAGGGAATAACCCACGCCATAGGGTCGATCCCTTCATCGAGCGCTCGGCTCGCCCCCGCTAGACGCACGCATAGTTGCGAGCCGCTCCCACGCTTGGAGCTGCGCTCGGGACGCACTCGGAGCCGCGCCCCGGAAAGCCGATCTAACCGCCGTTCGTTACCCAGGGCCTTCTGGGTTCACGGCCCCCCTCCCCCCCCCGCGCCGGACCTGGGGCGACCTTTGCAACGGTGTCGCCTTAGAGCGACTCGCTCAACCCGTAACGCGCGTAAGGCGCTTTGCGCCCCCGCGCCTCCTCACTCGGAACGTGAGAAACCTCCGAAGCACACTGGCACACAGGAACCAAGTCAAGCTGCCCAACATCGCGCAGGCAACTGCTGCGGGCGCGCGCCCATGCTGCAAGAGACGCATTGGTCCGAACATGATTCCCAAGTCTGGGCCGCCATGTTCCCAGCACGGCGGCTCGTCTCCGCGCTAGCTTACCAAGGCCCATCTGGGGGCTGGGCCGGAGGGGCCGCCATCCTAATGCCCGATGACTATGAGCTCCACTCCTCGCAGACTTTAGCCCCTGGCAACGCAATCGGCGTCCTAGCTAAGAGATGCAGAACCGCGCATCGGTTCGTCTCCGTCTCCTCCCAGGCCTGCAGGCAGCAACTCTGAACGCACTAGAACAGGCGCCCTCGCTGGCGGGCGAAGCCAATGCCTTCTGGGAAGGGGGCGTCAACCTGCAATGGGACGCGCCGCGAAAAAGGCGAAATAGACGAGGTGGCCACCTGGATCGCGCCCCTTGCCAGGCGAGCTGAGCGCGCCGCCGCCGCCGATGGCCCGACGAGGCTGGGGCGGGAAGGAGAATCCCAGATCGATGCAGTCGCGCGCCCCGCGGCCTCTGCAGGGTTTTACAGCGCGCGGAAGGCTTGGAATACATCGCCCTCTGGCCGCGCTCTCTTCTACGCCGACCCCGCCGCGCGGCCGCCCGCCCGGAGGCGGGGCGCGCTCGCCCCGCGGGCGCGCGTAGCTCCCCCGTGCGAGGCGCGCGCCGAATTTCGGCGAGCCTATGATAACCCAGAGCGCTTCCTTCAAATTCCGCGGGACGACCTCTCGGGCCCGCCGCGACCTTCAGACAGGGCTTGCGCCGGCGCCCCCAGGCAGCTCCCGGGGGCGCGCCCGGCTGAAGAAGCCGCAGCCGAGTTCCCAAGCGAACGGGTCACCCCGCAAGACCAACGCCCCATGGCGGACGCGGCCCCCCCGCAACTTGAACATCGCATCCACTTCGGGCGACGCGCCCTCCCCGGCGCGCCGCGAGCTCGGCGGCGGAGATGGGGCGCGCGCTTGGGCGAAGGGCCCAGGCCAGGTGCTGAGACACGCGCGAAGGACCAGCGATACGCAGAGACCCGTTGGCGCCTATGCTGCCGGGATGAACCAATTGGCTGGGGCGGCCTCGACTTCGGCCCAGACAAAGTGGCCCTGCGGGCGCTCCGTTGGAAGGCCGATCAGGATCTGGACTAACGGCGCGCAGCCCAACTCTCCCCGCGGCAACGGGGCGCCGGGGTGGAGCGCGCGCCGCTAGCGGCACGCGACAATCGATTCACTGAGGGGGGCGCGAGACGACAGGGGCATCTGGATGGGCAAGAGGGCCGCAGAGATCGACGGGGCATTGTGGGGGAGCCAGGCTGGCATCTAGCAGACAGCGCCTCCCCCGCCGGAATGCGCGCGCCGGC